AATATACAGTATCGATAGCGGCTAGTATTATATTTTAACGAGTTGTAAAAAAGAAACTGCGCACATTTGAAAAAAAAAAAAAAAAAAAAAAAAACTAAAAGCGACTTTTATACGAAGTAAAGGCGCGCCCATAAAAATGACATTTTTACACAAGTATAATCTTTGAGAGAATATAATTTGTAAAGAAAGATCGCGAAGCTTCGTCGAATATGCGAGCACGGCTCGGAAAGATCGAAACTGGTTTTTAATACTCTCGACTGTATCTCGTCGAGCATCGCATCGATTCGATATTGCATCGAACAAACATTAAAGTCCCGATCGCCTTCGTCTCTTTCTCCTACGGTTCTCTATTCGTCCTTTAACAATTCTAATGTTTACACGGAAGGAAAGAATGGACAAAAGGAAGAACGTCAAACATATTTTTGTCGAGCGTGACCGTTGTTGGCGTGTCTCAGTTGACGCGTTCAGTCGCCGACTAAATGAGACGTAATAAATTGCCGGTGGCACAAGGTTACTTGTACTTTCGCGCCTACATTCGTTCACCGCATATCACGTGAATGAACCCTCAACCGTGCGAGTATTTTTCGAACGTTGGAAAATGGAAACCTTGCGGCTCCCTTATGTATCTCCAGTGAAACGCGCGCGTGAAATGACTGAAAACACACACAAAGAGAGAGAGAGAGAGAGAGAGAGAGAGAGCGGGGGGGTAGTCTCTCTTTTGCCTACAAAAGCGACTCTATAAATGCGAAAGGCTTAATACCCGCACAAAGTTCATCGTCGTCGTAAAGTCAAGTATCGTTTCGTTCACCGATCGCCTGAGACTGGCACTTCCGGACACGGACGAGTTCAAAGCAGTTTCGAAACTTTGTACCGTGCACCGATACTTCTACTCCATCGCCATATCCACCCCTTAGACGGACCTATTCCTTTATTGCTCGACGTAATATTAGGTAACTCAACGAATGCAACTTTCTTTACTTTCCTTCTTTATGCAGAATTAACGAGAGAAGATAAACACAAAAAAGCATTGCGTAAGAGACTCGTTTGTTCGCGTAAAAGGTATCCTTGGAAAGTTTTTCTTTTTTTGCATTTCAATGGATGAGATTTTTTTTCTTCTCGTTTGCATTGCGTATAAAGTGCTCCTTATCGTTGGAAAAATGTTAAACGATAAATTTTGATAAGGAAACTGATCATCGATCGACTCGTCGGTAAACCCTCGATATCCGTGTCGATAAACTCGACAACAAAAATAAGAGACAACGATGCGAGAGAGTCCTCGGAAGTTTAGGGATGAACATTTGCAAAGCTAGAAAGTGCATGTGCGACCGCGCGTATGCACATTCGCAATCGCACCGATCGAGCAACCTCCACTAACAATAAGTTGATTCGCTTGAATGCGCACGACGAAACAAAAAAAAAAAAAAAAAAAAAAAGAGAAAAAAAATAAACGTCCAATTTACAAATTTTCCCTCGATAAAATCAAAAAATTTGTTGCGATCGTCGTCTCGTTTTCGAGTACAATTTGCTTATACATTTTAATTAACGATCGAACTTTCCTCGCGAATAATTTTAATTACCGTCCGCTCGTAGTGATATAATAAATCAAAGCGGATACGTTAATTGATTATCGTTAATACCATTTTTTTTCTCTCTTAATGCACGATTAATCCGATGGTACCTTCTGTACCTTCGACGAATCCTCAGTTCAAATTCAATCCAATTGGATATTTGACCAAGTACCAAAAGGTACGTATATCTAAGTACATATACATATACATATACACATATACATATATATATATATATATATATATATATATATATATATATATAGGATTGACTCGCGTTAGAGGGTGCATCCGCGACAATATCCTCGGTCAGTCCTTCGAAGATCCGGTCGAACGTGATCTGAAAATGGATGCAGAAAAGGAGCCGTCGCGCGAGTTTCTCAACTTCTTGCCCGACGATCGAAATTCCTCCGACGTTGCTCGAAAGAACGAATCGCATCCTTCAGGCATAGGAATAAGAAAAGAACTACCAAAGTTCGAGTAGCCTTCGCAACTGTCTCCTTACGTTTACACTCATTTTCGCTTTTCTTATCAACAGAGTTATTCGCTTCGTCTAGGTCATCTAAGGTCTTTCCTCAACACGAAAAAAACAAAAACAGAACGCGGCATTCTTACGTCCGCGTTTACAAATAATACTCTAATATGTTGTAAAATTAATTTACAAAATCACGAAACGGAAAAATTCGGAATATTTCTAAGAATGAAAGAGAGCGCTCGTTTATTAATCGATAAAGTGATTGTTATCTCTTAACGTAAACTATTAAAGTAATTTATTTACAGGATAAGATGCGCTTGAAAAAATTGAACATACCAAAAATTATGAGCTTACGTTTCGTCCTTAATAGATATAATAATCGTTGAGGCCTTCTCTTCTTCACCACTTTTCCTGAGATTATTTCCGAGCTCCAGAGTTCGTCGAGTTTCGCGCTCGTCGCAGATCGCAAGGCGATCTTTGACGAGTTGCGATTCTGCTTCCTCCTCTTTCTTTTTTTTTCTTCTCCGTCCTAAACGATTACACTCTCTTTGTTTCTCTCTCTCTCTCTCTCTCTCTCTCTCTCTCTCTCTCTCTCTCTATCTATCTATCTCTCTCTAGAGAGAGACTTGACGCGCGTTCGTCGTAAAAGCCAAGGCACAAGATATCAAGCTATATGATAGTGCGTGCACAACGTTATAAGAGACATATACACATATACACAAAGAAAAGAAAAGCTCCTGCGTATTGCACTCTGTTGGGTCGACGAAAGAAAACTTTTGCGATAAAGGAACGATATGACACAGTCTGTGTATTTGCGGGTGTGCGTAATGTACGAATATATTTTGATATATGTATAAACATATAGAAGAAAGAAACGCACACACACCCGACCGGCACGAAGTCTCGCACGATTCTGAGGACGCGCTTCGTCTCCTAATGTGTAAGCGCGCCGACTCTGCGCGCGCAGTTAAACCCACGATGCGCCCTCGACCAATCATTGAGTTCGTTCAGTTATGCGCGGATACATACTGGACCGATTTCTTCAATTCCGATCCAAGAGTAACAGCTGTGATATTCTTGTCAAAATTTTCTTTGATTCTAGTTACAATAAAATATATACATGTATGTATGTCTGTATGTATGTATGTATGTATGTATGTATGTATGTATGTATGTATGTATGTATGTATGTATGTATGTATATATATATATATATGGAAACAAAAGAAATGGTTCAAAAGTCAATCGTGAAAATGTAGGTTTGGAATTTAAAAAAGCCTTTCCCATTGACACATTATAATTCCTTGCACGTAGTACCTGTGCGACAAACATTTTCGTTTACGTCGCTTCTCTCTCTCTCTCTCTCTCTCTCTCTCTCTCTCTCTCTTTCTCTCTCTCTCTCTCTCTTCCAGCGTTGTAATGCTGCATGCGCCAAGGTAGCAGCGAGTCCGAAACTATCCATAATTCACAGCGCGAACGTCGACGAATGATTAAGTGACATTGTGTTACAAATTTATCTAACGTTCCAACGAAAGGGACTAATGCACTCCGCGCAACGAGATTTCCTAATTGAATAAATTCGCATAATCGGAGCATTATGCGTCGAAGATGAAATTCCGTAGATTTTTAGAAGAGAAAGAATTATCGGAGAGAGAATAAAAAATCTATACGCGCGTTTACCATAGCTCTGCAATAGTATACGGCAATGTAATATTTCTTTCAACGAAACATAAGTTTCCCTGCTCGCGACAAATTTCGAACGAAAACACGTGAAATGTACGCGCGAATTTGTTTTTCTACATCCTTCTCGCCTTATTAAGTATTCATGGAACGTATCAAGAAACAAGCTCGAGCCCGCGAGAGTTTTTCAACGGAATAAAATTCTATCTAATCGATCGTAAAATTTCTTTCGTGCCGTTTCATGCTCCTGGAAAAGTTTCGGGAAAGAGATTAAACATTAAATATGCAGCAGACGCTCGATCTAAGATTAAATTTCTGCTATATTCGATCATGCCTCAATCTCTAACAATTAGCATCGATGCATTTACAAAAATATTATTGTCAACTTGTGAACCTGAGAAACTCCTACGTAAATTAATTTACGTTAGGACAGCTTCCCTTAATTGTACTTGTTGCTTTCGGGGTCAGGTTCGTACCGGCCCTGAATTTGGACCCTTGCCAAGCCATTGACAAACGCCTTCGTTCTTCGTTTTTACTTCTAAAAAACCTTTTGTTCCGATCAAATCTTCTATCGTTATTTTATACTTATAACGTGAAACAACGTATCAAGGACTATGAAGAAGCACGATGTAATCGATGTGAGGAAGCACGATGAAGCGCAAGGTAATCTTCGGAATAGCAATACGATATCTCGAAACAACGTAGGAAAGCTACCGAATATTGTCTAAAAAGAGGATTCGTTCGATTTTACGTTCCTCTTCTTATAGGAAATAAGTGAACTCCCATATAAAAACAAACTGTTGGCAATCAACGCCAAATAAACTCGAGTTAATGATACGAATCGTGCATGCAAAATGTCGAGATCGAGTGAAACGCACTACGCTTAAACTAACAAAAACAACACGTATCGTGTCTCGTTCGGGCGATTGAGTCAAAAGCAATAAATTCTGTCGCTCTTTGGTTCGTGAGCATCGATGCATTTTATGCAAATATCGCATTATACGCAAAAATATCGATAAATTCTGTCCACCTAATTATCCGCATGTTTTTCATGCTTTCATGTTCCACCTCACATTTTTATGAACGATTGATTAATTTTATCGTAGATCTAAGAAAGATCTAAATACAATGTCGATCGTCTTGTTCATGATTACGAGGAAAGAACGCTTCGATCGATCGCTGAAAAGTCGCCCCCTTCGTTCTTCGCTCATATCTGCCTCTCGATGTTTGGCATTTTTCTTAAAACTTAAGAAAAGCGCGAGCGCGCGCGAAGAAGAAAGAGAGAGAGGGAGAGGGGGGAACGAAGCGCCATCCTCGTCTATTGATCGTCGGTGGCCATCCAAGATGGCGCCGAGGGTGGCGTTCGCGCTCAGTCTGATCCTCGTCATCGGACACTTTGAGGAAGGACCGGCTTCCCTAGCCAAGACTTTCACGTTTCCAGAGTACCCCTACAAGGAAACTACCAAGAACGTAAGTCCTCCTTATCGTACATCTGTTTCCGCCTCTTGGATATCCTGCAGAATGCTGATACAGGTTATAGCGGCAACTATCACTTAAAGGGTGACGCTTTTACGACGCTGCATGGCCAGTGAGGGTACGGATGGATATATATATATATATATGTGTATACATGTGTATATATATATATATATATATGTAGAGGGAGAGAGAGGGAGGAAGAGGGTTTACGCTAATCCGCAGCTTGTAGCTCCTCCTATTAGATATATCCAAATTCTTCTAGCTTGATCGTTAAAAAAGTCCAGCGTTAGTGTATTTTATCCGCGTATCCGGTGATTATTGTCAACATAGAAAAGATATGATCGCTTTCTTTCGTAGGAATTCCTCTTCCGACAATTCGAGCAAGCTTGCGAAGAGAGCGGTGCTTGCAAAATGTTATCGCAACAGGCGAGCAGCGTCGCCAAAACACGATGCATCCGGGAGTGCGTTTCTCCTTCTTGCTATAAAGAAATTTATTTGTTCGATCAGGTATTCTCGTCGTTAAATGAAACAACATTACTATTAAATATAACATAATGCGAAATGAAATGCCGTATCTGTGAAAAACATATCAACAAAGTTACGTTTCTTACTCGTTTTAGCTGGAGGAAGGAGAGATCGACGTCAGGTTAAATTCTTTTAAGGGATGTTTTATGCAACGTAACGGACGTCCGCGCAAATAAATAAGACATGCCTTTCGATCCGTCAAAAGGTCGATGTATTATCTATTGCTAACCGCTATCCTGGGAAAGTCAACGTTCTTTCTGCTTACGTCGGCGACGAACAAGCGGATTTTGAAAAAGAAGAACTAGCTAAACAATAAAGAGACGTTTTATTCACATCTTTCGCGACAACATTTAGATTTGACATTAGATAATCTTTTTCTACTTTTTGTATGCACAAACTACTGTAATACCAATAGAATATTGCACAGCATATTAATCATAATTTCCAAACCTCACCTTCCTCGTTTCCAAAGATACGAACGTTCGTCATCTTGTAACCTTTGAAGAATGATAACTAAACAAAGATATTTGTATAAAAATTGTAACGACGGAGAATACTATTTGAAGAAATAGACGCGATGTAGAAGCGATATAATCGTACTCACCGCATGATACAATCGTGTACAAGCCTCGTCTTCGTCCTTGGATTTGAGAAAATTCATATATTCCGATAATTGTTCCATAGTTTCGTCAAAAGGTGATTTGAACAAAGATCTTGAGTTAAACGGTACTTCTTCGTCGCTGTATATCTTTCGATAGCGAAGCCACGTGGTGACAAAATGGAGAAAATGAGAAGACAAGTAACGTGTTTTTGCTACACCGATGACGAGGTCGTAGTTACTAATGGCAGTGCATAGATGATACATCAGTTTCTCTACTTTGACGTGACAAAACTTGAGAACGTCGGTTAGGCATTGATAAACAATTTCTCTTTCCACTGGAATACTCTATCGTGAAAATGATCAAACGATAAAATCGACTAATCGACCCGTTATGACCTTACCTTTACATCGCCCTTACGCCCCGGCTCACCTTCGAGTGAATAACATGAAGCATCTCGTAAATATCTAGAATCGTTGTGATTTCATCTTTATCCGGTGTGTTAAAGGGAACGCTTTTCAATGTTACAGCCATTCCTGCATTGTTTTGACTCAACAGCTCGTGTAAAAATTCCAAGCCATTTGGACAAACCAGTCGTGACTTTTCCATAATCCACAAAAGGGCATATAAATCACGTATTTCAATCGTTACGGGTTTGACGCACTATAAATAAAATATTCTTTAAGTATATTCCACGATATCACTTTTTATATTATAATAATCATTTATCAATTATCATATTTCCGTTTTCTCTTACCTCGATCGAAGATTGCGATTGAAAATGAATAATAAAAGCGAGAAATTTCAATGATATTGCAGATAATGTCGATTCGTCTTCGGAAAACGCATAATCGCGTAATTTCTCCAATAATCTCGTTTCATTTATGTACTTAGAAAGAACTGTAAAGTGTAAAATTCTTCCTTTTAATTGTATTTTTCATTTATCATATATTCTAGTACCGTTCTATCTTAGCCTGGTCCTTTCGGTGCCACTTACTTTTTAAGTAATTGCGTGCCGTAGAAGCGACAAGTACGATGTATGCCTGCTTTATAAGTAATTTCTGAAAATTAACATCTACGTCTTCGGTTAAAATTATTTTTATGAGAGCGTCTGCGCACACCTTCATTGTATGCGTTGATAAATAAGTAGGCTCCGACATACTGGATAATTCAAGCACCGCTTTAATATGTTCAACTACAAATAATGTCATAATATGTGTGTGTGTGTGCGTGCGTGCGTACGTGCGTGCATACACACATGCATATATATATATATATATATATATATATATATATATATATATGTATCAATATGGACGATAACAAAGATGAAGAAACGTCTATTGTAGTACAACATAGAGAAAGTATAAACATAGAAATTAAATACTTCGATTTGGGCTGCCAGATAGGAGAACATTTGGGAGCATGTTCCAAACTATGTCGGCAATCTCGTCGCAATTACCAATCAGCATCGATTGACGTATTCCTTTTACAGCTAAACGAACCACGCTTCCGTCGAGGCTTCCATTTTGTACTATAATCTGCGTTTAAAAGATTATCGTAAGCGAGATAATGATGTAAATTTAAAGACACGTAACTCTTCAAGAGTCATAAGGTAATAAGAGGGATAGTAAGAAACGTTGCGTCTACCAGTAAACAATGTCTAACGACGCTGTGACAATCGAGCTTCAAGAGAGGTGCGATGTCACCATCGGATTCTATCAGCCACATATCCATTACTCTGTATCGTAAGTCGTTCGTTATCTCGGGACATTTGAGAGAAAAATGTAAGAGCTCGATGTGATGAGTGTAACACTGACTTAATTCCGAGTATTGTAAAGCCATTGTTAATTTTTTCACCGCTTTTCCATACTCGCAGTTTTTGTCCGGTAATGGATGAGACAAAAATGACACCTAGGTAATAGACATTTTACAATGATAAAAAGACCAAAACTCATGTAGAATAGACAATTTCTATCTTGTCGATAAAAACGAATAGACTCACAGCGAATAAAAACCATAATGGCTTTAGAATTGGTACGATTATCGATCGAACGTCTTCTAATTTTAACAATCTTTTTATCAGAGATTCGAACGAAATCACGTCGAGTCTGAAACAAAACGATAATCAGTCCTTCAAAAACGACTATTTACGTATATACATTAAATAAGAAATATGAGAGAGAGAGAGAATAAGGCAAGAAAAACTCACTCCCTGGTCGCATGATAATGATAGTAAAGGGAAATCATTAAAGCCGTATTACGATCATCGGAACTCGCAATTATGTCGGTCCACTGTTCGAGATCATTCGGTAGAGAGAGAAATCCATCAAACATCCTACTTGAAAATACATTAACGCCTTCGGGCAACTTGTCGATCGATAAAGAGTATTTCGCTAAAGTGATCAATGTCCGCGTCAGTAAGATACAAATACTTCGTCGTTGGTGTAATCTGAAGGATTTTTGTATCTAATTAAAAAAAAATATGAAATATTTACGTATAGCCGAACGGCTTTTATCAATTGTATTCTACTTACAAAAGTTGAGCGCTAAGACGTAAGAAATATTTAAAATAACCGTTTCCTGCTAAATGATTAGCTATATCCTCTTGTTTAAAATCTCTCATATTGTACATGTTATTGAGACAAGAAACAAAACTGTCGTAACACTTGATGGTATTCTCTTGATCCAAGCGTACGTTCTATTCGAGAGCAAATACATAATTGCACGTTATATATTTGTCATTTAGCTTTTTAATAGAGCTGATATGTGTTTAATATTTTATATTTTAAGCTTTACTTTAAGACGCGGTATAATGGTATACATAACGATCGCATAAATAGTCTTTCCGAGAGATATTTTGTCCCGCGTCGGAGTCATATTGCCAACCTCGTCAACGTCCGTCAGATAATCCTTGTCGCAAAATCTACGAGACATATTCCGTCCTCAATATCTATCTTCTTATCGTCATTTACGAAAGAAAAAGCCAAGTAAAATTTGAACTTTTACCGCATGCTGGAAGCGCAAAGGCAGCATAAGCCGACAATGGCGTTCGTCGATGCATAATCTTCTTCGTAATCGTGTTCCAGGATATCTTTCATAGATTTTATCGACTCGTTGCAAACATCGAGAATCAATCTCTCATCTTCGTTTTCGTACCCGTCCAACGTTACGTATTCGAGTAGGACATTTAAAATGTCGACAATCGTGAACCTTAATACATAGGATAAGCATTTTTGGCTCAAGTCCTTGATAAATGAAAAGATTTGATTGATAGCGCATACGTTATCGACTTCAATACCTAATTTTTTGCCGCTGAAAATATAGAAAATATTTTCGACATTTTAAAATTCTATTATTAATAAAAACATACATTGATAATATATCCATATTATTACTTGAATAATATATTGCGAATAGCACGAAGGAGCCTTTCCAAAGAAGGACATGTTTCTACGTCCGTCGACATTCCAATGTAATGCGCAAGACGAAGCAAAGAGCTCACGGCTTCCGCGGCGACCTGACTTTCGTAAAACTTTCGTTGTTCGCTCGCTAAAGCCAAACACTCGAGAGCGGAACTGCAATGACACGAAACAACTAACGATCATATATCGATCATATCAATAATATACGAATAGAAAGTATTTTACGTTATAAGCGGTTCCCGAAAAGTCTTTAAAACGTCACACAGGCTCGAAATTATGTCGAATTTGATGAGCTTCGTAAAAACGCTACTTCGAACGGCGTGGACTTGAGATTTTAAAAGGATCGTCAGTTGTTCGAGCGCAGACATTTGCGATTTTTCCTTTGGCGACATCAAGTTACCTTTTATTCGTGGCAACAAGTGATCCAGATTTTCTGACTTCAATTGAAATAATTCCTCCATTTCAGATCCGTACGCTGTCACATTACATATACACGTTATTAATTTAATGCACCTACATATGCACGTACGTATTTCATTATCGATCAATCTATTACGTTCGTTTTAATAACCTTTAGAAATTATCCGAAATTATCGTTATTAGAAGAATATTATTTTTCAAGTATATATTTATAAACCTACACGAATGGAAGATACAGAGAGCGTTAAAGTATTATTACGTATAGATGGTGCTACTAAATCTTTACCGACCAAGGGCCACCGATCGCTTACTTACGGTGCCGCGAATAAGATACTTGCGAATCTTTCCAAGATAATCCTATAATAATTGCAAAATATCGCAATATTATTGCTATCGTTCTATTTAAGAATAATGTTTGTCTCAATATTTCATATATTATAATTAATATTGTTTATGAATCAAACAAAAAATTTACGATTATCTACGTATTATTGAATGTTACAATAAATACGTTACAAAGAAGATGTATCTTACCTGTTACTTCATTTTTCCCTTTAATAAAAATATGATACCCGCTTTATATCACTGAACGATTATGACAATCCAATTTAAAAAGATCCAACTTCCCGAGTAAAAGTTCTACCACGTTCTACCACGTTCTACCACCCGTAAAATTAATACGTTACTCGTACGCACAGCGAATCTGATTGGTTTCTACCAAACATTTTAAATCACAACTTTTAGCGCGGTATTCGAATATGGAAAACATTTTTCAAGCAAAATCTTTCACTGCATATGTCTAATCTATATAGTTTCAACTATTATCCAAACGAAGTAAAAATGATTCTTACCACTTTGTTCAGTTAGATTACATTTGCGCATTCATCACGTATGTCGCATAGCCGTTACTCAACATGAGAAAAACATGAGTCTAAAATAAAAGCTGTAAAATCGATGAACGTACTGTTCACGTAGGACGATTTGCGATTGACGATTTCAACGAGAAAAGAAAAAATAAAAAAGAAAAAAAAAGGATTAATGAACTGATCGAAGAAATTTTCTTTATCATACTACTTGACAGTGTCTCGTTAGAATCAATAATATTAGCAGCACTACGTTTTTTGCATATCTATAATATTGCTTAAAATATGACCTATTACATCAAAATATAAATAAGATATAGCGTATACAAAGTGCATCGAATTTTCATTTTTTTTTCTTCTTGTCCTAAAGGGTGCATTTGAGGATATATAAAATTAATATATGAAAATATCTCTCTACCATGATGTCGCTAATAAATATTACTTGTCGTGTACATTGGATGATAATAATAATAATAATAATAATAATTAAGTTAATAAAGTATAATTAACGAAACTGGATGCAAGAATGGTGATGCGAATTTTAAATTGCCATAAATAAGGTACGTGATAACTAAAAAGAAAAATATTTAATTAGATCGTATGGATTTATACTTTATAAAATTGATTCTAAAAAACAAATCTATATAAACTATACATTCTTAAGAAGATTATTAAAGTACAGATCTGCAGGGATTATACAGATTTAACCACTCGCTTAAGTGTTACATATGTTCGAGCGATATTAGCACTATGTTTCAGTCTTTTGTACGGTACAGAGATCATTTCTTCGTTCTAGTTATTAATAAACGATTGTAAACAATTTTGAATCAAATATAAATATAGTGTACATGTACCATTTTTGCAACCAGTCCTTCGAATAATGTTCGAACATTATCATTATCTATATATTATCATTTCCGTCTTGTTCACCTATTGTAAATAAAAGAGTTATATTAATTTCTTAAATCTGTAATACTTTATATTCAATATTATTTAAAAGCATGAAGCAAATCATTTTTCAAAAATAATTTTCAAGCCCTAAATACGATATACATATATGTCAAAATAACTACCTGCTTTTACTATCCTCGTAACTTAATCATAATTACGGATAAAATGACACTGTAAAGCAAAATGTAACAAACAGAAAATATTTATAATTCTCGATCCTAAATATAAAAATGTAGTATATATAGCACTGACCTATCGAATACATAATTTTTATTGAGAAAGAGATATATATATATATAGAGAGAGAGAGAGAGAGAGAATTCCTCGTATAAAAAGAAGAAATAATTATTTTATTCCTATAAGTTATACTTAATAATTTCCCTCGTGTTATAATTTACGTTCGTAGCATGATGTGATAGGGAACTATTAAATATATTTAAATATATTATTCATTCGTTAAGATCGAACATTTTCATTGATATATAATATATGCAAGATTGCCTTGCATTAGATGCAATATGAAAGAAGAAAAAATATAATTTTATTTGGTAGTTTTTCTCTTACTTCAGTTAGAAAAAGTCTTATTAAACGGATCATGTTAAATTAACATATCAAATAATATAACAAATAAACAGATCATCATTCTCGTATAATTTCTTTAAAATACTTTCATCTGCGCTTAAATAAATAAGCGCATAAAGATATGATTCGTATGTATATAAAAATCTATGTTAAATAGACAACGAATAAATGTAAATTTTATGTTTATGTAAATATTTAAAAATTATACTTCTTAAGTACTTGTACTATTACGTTATCACCATTTATTATTACACTTTTAATCTGTACGAATTCTCGCATTGTATTTTGTAATAAATAAAAAAATATAACTAAACAATTTTTTACGAAATTTGCAAATTAATCTTACAACGTACTGACTAATATCCATAGATCAAGTATATTCCAATGGAACTATTCTGGAAAGGTTCTCCCAAAATTGTTGTGAAGTAACTACTAATAGCTTCTTGGAGGAATGTTATCGTTAATATGTATTTTTCATTGCTACTTGTATATATGATATTTTGGAAAACAGCATCATTACATTTTCTGCTTGTGCATACACAGTACATTTGCGTTTACACGTTATATATACATACATACATACATACATACATACATACATACATACATACATACATACATACATACATACATATATATATATGTATATGTACATGTACGTATATGTATACATAAACATGTATACATACACACATATGCATACATTGAAGATTATTCAATATATATGTATATATTGAAAGAGATATTGTGTATGCGCGGATACACAAGCATGCATTCGATACAATGTGTCATATTTACCTTATATTTACATGTATTAAATATTTGTGTCACAATCACATATCCAAATAACCTATACAGTATATAAATAGGCATCTAACTTCTTTTTTGCATTCGGAGGCGAAGTGAAGGGAGAAAACCAAGCAATAGAAAATCTACCAAAAACGGCCTGTATGGATTTCCATCTGCTATTACGAACCCATCGTGCTTCTTCTTTTTTAAGTTGTTCTATACCCTATGACAAAATTAAAATATTGTTATTGACTTAAGATAGTAAAGCCTTTGATGATATACATATGCACTTACAGTTTCATCATTCCAAATAGCCTGCAGTTGCGATCCCAACATTACAGCTGTAAAAATGGCAAATAAAAGTGCTTCGAATGCTAGAAATAGTAAAAGGACAACGGTCGCAGGTGGACTAAACGTCGAACATTCTCTCCATTCTTGTCTCACGCACGTTGTAAATTGTTGTATGCACAAAAGAAGAGACTGTAGGGATATACCTGCTATGTAAAACTGAAAATTCATGTTCGATTTTATTCGCCTTATCGTAAAAAATGTATACTTCATTTGATATATAAAAAAAAAAAAAAAAAAAAAAAAAAAATACTTATTGGAAAGAAACATGACTTACAGTAAACAATACAAAGTATTTTTGATTATTTTCGCCGACACAGTTGTTAACCCATGGGCAATGATGATCCATTTTCCTAATACATCTAAAATATCGTTTTATCGATCATCTCTAACAGTAATTATTAATCTAAAAGCAAGCTAATCTTAAAACGAAATAAGTACCCAAACTAATTTACCTTTGACAAACCGAACAATGATGAGCTCTATCCGGCTTTATAGAACAACATTTTGGACATTTAAAGATAACTTGACCTTCCCGGAATCCCATTTGTTGTATCATTTTTTTTGTCGCATTGCCCTTTGGTACAGCACCCTAAATAATACTTAATTATTATCAAGTTATACCATAATATATTCCAAATGCCAATTTAATTTTTGATAAGATCACACAAGGTATGTTTCTTCTTTACTTACTGGATCTGTAAACATTGTCCTTAAATGAGAAGCAAATGCCAAAAATGCTAAGGATTGAAACACTGCCATGTTTAGGCCTGAATATAAAGTATTTATAGAAGGAATAAGGATAACAGCCATAACTACAAATTCCGCATAAATTATTAGCAACCATGTCAGGACCGCACATATAATTCCACAAATATCCTATGATACGAAGATGTAAATCATACGATATAGTAATATTGTTAATACAAATTTTTTACACTTTTTCCAAGACAATACCTTGATGCACCAAAACTTTCCACCGCAACACTTATTATGTATACCTTTCTCCCTATGGAAGGCTACGTAATCATAAACCATAATTGAAAAGTCCATTAAAGCGGCAAACTTTGTTCCACTTGTAAAAAAGTACCGATATAATACTTTAATATAGAAGAAAAAGCCATAACTGTGAATAAAGGATAAACATTGCTATATGTTATTGTAACAAACATATGAGTAATAAAGTTAAAGTAATAAGAAAAAGTTATAAAAATATGAAGCAAATCAATTAACGATTAACTAAAATCTAACCTAAAAAATGAATGACATCATTGCTTGACAAATTCTTTCAAGATCCGAAAGGAAATGGATTCTTTGATTTTTTCCCTCATCCTCTTTCTACCCGTTTACGTTATGTAACAATGAATTTATAATAACGATCACTATCGTTTTCCCTTCACCGTTATAAACGCCATCAACCACTTAAAAGTAAAATACATGGAATATGATGAGACGAAGGGTCAAACACACGATTATACTCCATTTTATTTCTAAATCAAGAGCCACCTAGCGTTCAAAAAGAGATTACTTCTTACGACGAGCGATCGAAGCGCCATCTAATACGCACGCAAAACGCGCTATTTTCAAATTAGATCGAATGAGTTGACGTAGCACCATTTTATAATTCAATCCAAATCAACTATAGAAGCCTTAAAGTTTGGTTTCACTATCTATATCGTATCTCGTTAGAATATTTTTAGAATTGGAATTTATTGCATTATATAATTTGACCACGAACGGACCATTTAATGAATTCAAGCATTCGATGCTTCAGTACAACATATATGTACATATATTTATTTATATGTATATATATATATATATATATATATGTGTGTGTGTGTGTGTGTGTATACGTAGATGATTGATATCAACGTCAGGTCAATACGACGAATATAGAAAGAGAAAGATCTGCCGGTAAAATTGACCTATCTGTAACTAAATTCATGCGATTTTTTACCGAAAGGCAGTTAAATAAGTTTCTTGTTCCGAATCTCGTATGTTTCCGCGAAGGAATGCTTGGAAAGGCAAGGATCAAGCAACGGTGGAATCGAGAGGATGCATGACGTAAGAAGATACACGCATTACCTTTCGAGCGAATATTTATACATGAAAGTGCACAAACGCACGCAATGAATTTAAGCTTTCGATTTTAATTTTGAACATTCTATACGATTATTAGAACTCAGACAAGTTGAAATAAAACTAATATAATTATTTCTTCTGTTTTTTTTTCTTTTTTTTTTAAACGAAATTTGAATTTTCATCGTAGCTTAAAAGTATTTTTATCGAGAAACTAAAAAAGCTAACCATTAATATTAGCAATCCTTTTAAGGCTAAATGAAAATATAGTACGAACGGCCAATGTCCATCGATGGAACGTAAGAGTCAATCGATTCGTGCTGAGTCGACTAAGTGCGTGAGTGAACGAAGGAGTGAGAGAGAGTGAGTGAGGGCGGGGGGGGGGGGGGAGAAAGAGAAAGAGAATCGATGGTTACGCAAGACGAAAGTAATTCTATGGAGAAGAGCGAGGAAGGACGCTAAAGATGAGGTGGAGATGGAGGAGGAGAAGGGCATATGTGCAGAGAGAACTGAGGCAATGTCATCGAACTTACATAATATGTATGTACGTGTATCGTCTTACTTCAATTTACATTTACCTATGGTCCGATGCAACTTACATCTGGGTCATATAGTTTTGCTCTCGCCGAAAAGATGCCCAACAACCATTCTATGCCCAGTCCGAGCTCTGCCATGACAAGACAAAACAGATGACTTTTCATTTTTCTGTTCGCGGAACCTATACATATATCGAGAAAGGAACTATATCTATTTTTCTTTGGCTTTGCCTAATCTTACTTTTTTGTCTTTATCAATGAATCGTAACAATAGAAAAAGATGAAAATCTCTTTTGAAAGATGTTTTTAAGGAAGCTACGAAAGTGTTTTTCCAAGAAGATGACTTAAGGCGCGAAGGCACTCGGACATTCTTTTCGCGAGGGATGGTACGAGCGATGGCCAGGTGAGAGGTAGAAAGCGAGGAAGAAAGGTAAGAGGTACGAAGAAGACTCGGGAAGGAACGATCATTGAGAGACAGTGCATCGGGTGCTTCACGGTGGACGGACGATGTCGGTCCTACGAGACTTTTGAGACGCATGTAACGTCACGCAAAAATGCCGATCATCCAGCCTCTTCTGTGTAAGTAAATCATGTTATGATAGATCACGTTCGATAAGATTCGAATTTCCCGCTAAAAATTCAATTAAGCGATTAGCTTACGCGCTTTTCGAGAAGATAAAGCCTTCCGTTCCGTTCCTACATATATACATTCGTTTTGTTATTTGGTAAATCTTTTAACGGTAAATCGAAAAAATCGATGGATTTTATAAAATGTATACATTTTATTTTATCGATGTTATGATCTAATATACGAATATAATATATGAATACTATATAGCCTTATGCAACATCCTTTCACGCGCGGTATTTGTTTCCAGCGATCGAATCAATAACTAGCACGAAAATAATCTCTCCGTTATTTTAAATCACTTTGATTTGATCGTAAAAATAAAATCATTCCATGTGAAAACTCGTTATCACAGTATTTAGTATTTGAAGGAAAGGTAAAATAAAATGTTGGCAAGACGTTGTAGAAGGGTCAATAAATAAATAAATAATTATGTACGTAGCTTTATTGTCGCGTGACATTTATTTAACAATCGTGATATGTCAAAAATTCTATGTTGAAGTTGTAGTCAAACGGATTATTTAATGGTAATGAAGCGTGCACCGTTCTTTCGGCACGTTACTTTCTTCTAAAGAAAGGATTAGAATTACCCCCGGAAAGTGATCGTCTATAGACTTTGTTAGAGAAAATTTCCGCCTTGCGGTTGGGACATCGCAAATCGAGTTCTAATACTTACTTGAAAGTTATTAACGCTATTAATTTGAGCTAGCGAAAGCGCTCTCTCATTAATTTTTTCTATTCGCGCCTCGATGTGAAACAATCAATCAAAAATAAATTTTAGTTATTCTAGAGTAAGAAAAAAAAAAAAAAGAAGAAGGAATACGAAGAGATCGAGAAAAGCTAACAGATCGTAGAAATATCGACGGACAGATAATAGGCATATGTAAAATTATTGCTTTTTATTAAAAACAAAAAATACACATATTTCCTTACGCGAACAGATCTCGTCACCATTGTCTTGTGCAACGTTCACGGTAATCTTGAGCATGAGGTCCCACGGAGAAGCTTCCTGTCGCGCAGGGCGATCGATGGCACCAGAGGAAGGTTCGACGATCATTTTTTAACGATTATAAAATTGATACAAAAGTTGAATACAACCGATTAATCGAACTTAAACTATTCGATAGAAAGTACTTCGATCCCGAGGAAGAGGGTAGCTTCGATAGCTATGGATCTGCCGGTGGGCAATATGATCGATATAAAGATAAACAAGGTAACGCGTCAGTCGGTACAAAATAATGATCTCTCGAGTGATTTGAAAAAAAAAAGAAAAAAAAAAGAAAAAAAAAAGAAAAAAAAATAGATGAGAAGGAGGAGGGAAAATTGTTACTCGCATGCAAATTAAATACTTTTGCAAAGATATCCTTTTATAGCTATTCTTTTCTATTTACTTGAATTATTTTAGATCACAGTGACATCAGGATGAATGTACCAGGAGAACCTGGTACCGACTATCCAGCTTATACGACGTTACCGCAGACAGGTTTCTCGTGCGAAGGACGTTCACGCGGTAAGTCGCGGTATGTGGCGCGTTAAGCCTTATCGAGTGCCTAGAAAAGCAGCATCGCGCTAATAATTATTCCTGTATGTCGCTTTGTCACCTTTAGCATCATCGATGTCAAGGATGATACATGCATACGTATCTTCGTTTATAACGTAAGACGTACGCTTACGACGATTCTCTTAAAGTATTTTCTTTGCTTTCGCAATAGGTCATCGTGTTTCAAGCGTAATGCTATAAACTTAGCATTAATGACGTAGAACGTAACGAGAGAAAATTTCTCTAGGAAGAAAAAATATGCTAGATAATGAAGTATAATGCATTATTTTGACGTATTTTTCTCCAACAGGTTATTACGCGGACGAAGTAGCTGGATGTCAAGTATTTCACGTTTGTCACGACATTTTAATCTCCTCGTTCTTGTGCCCTATCGGATCCATCTTCAGTCAGAAACTCCTCACCTGCGACTGGTGGAGCAAAGTAGACTGTTCGACAACTCGCAAATTCATTGAAATAAATCGCAATGGTCACTATCAGGAAGACGACGACGAACTGATACGCAAAGCTTACGGTATGATGGGCCTGCAAACTGGAACGGACGTTGCCGGTGACGAATTAGTGGATCCTGATAGAGGAGGTAGGATCATTGACTACATTACGATTGATTCCACGGGGAACGATTTGCCAGCTTATCGCAATGATCTTCAACGAACGAAAACACCTCAATTTCTCTCGATTTACGACGAACATTCGGAAAGATCAAGCCCGCCGACCTATCCTAATACATTTTATAGTAAAAATTATCATACTCGACCGTATCAGGATTCACATATAATACATATCGAAAAAATTGGAGAAGAGAATTATCGAGAACCAGTGAGGTACAATTATCAAGATATTCGCGACAAATCAGGAAAAAGGATCGATGAGTTTCAGCCGTCGTATGCGCCGACCGTACCGACCGTCACTACTACCACGAGAAGATTGTATTCGCCTACGATACCGACGACCTACAGACCTTCTACCTTAGTTTATAACAGGTTCGATCAAGCCATCGAAAGTTCCGATCATCTTTACGCACACAGCCAGGAATCTAGAAACATCTTCACGCTATCCACTCCTTCTAATAAGAACTCGAAAGGAAAGTACAACGATGGTAATCCGCAAGGCGAAATAAACGATAAAGAAGAGCGGGATCACGATCGCTTAAAGGATGACCCCGTGGATAGCTACGAACATGTTAAACCTATCGATTCACCGGAGGAACAGTTTCAAGTTCGTCCAACTTTCGTTGAAGAAGATTATAACGACGGCATTGAAATAAAAGAAAGTATTGACATTGCTCGAGCTTTGAATGCATCAAACAAATTCAGGATTCACGTGCGAGATCCCAAAGACAATGTGAAGATGAATAAAAACGAAGATGATTCTTCGGCTTTACGCTTGAATGGAACCGAATCGCTTGAGAGTAGCGAAGAATCGGTCGATCAGTGGCATACTGAAACGACCGATACTCTTGATTATGCAAGTATTTTCGAAAAAGGTACTACTACTCCTATCATCGAATATTTATCGCGTCTCAAGTTGGAAGACAATAATACAGAAATAGAAGAATCATCGACTACTTTGTCATACGAGGAAAATTTAACGTCAACGGAAACAACAACAATATCATTAGATAAGAAATTGTATACTACGGAAAAGTCACGGATCTTTAACGATGACGATTCCGAGAGTGGAAAGAATATCGATTCGGCCATTTTACAACCTGACATCGTTTTAAAACCACCGATTTTTACCGAAGGAAACTTTCGGATAAACGTTCCAGATTATCTTTCTACTCAAATACCCATTTTTCATACGTCGCATCGTAAAACGTACGCATCGGAAGTACAAATTAGCACGGAAGTTCCAATAGATGACGGCTTGATTAAAAGAACGAACGTATCGGTACCTTGGTTCCACCGTACTACTGATCCTCCGGCAAGAGACATAGAGCCACCGTTTCTCGTTTCTAAAGATAATATCGACGAGATCGTCACGCAGAGTTCTATATTCGATATGATTGTCCAAGACGTACCAACGCAAGATACGAATATTTATTCTCAAGGCGAGAAAGTAGACGGAAAAGTGGAGGATAAAATTCGGAGAAATTCGAGGGAGCAGGAAAAAGTGAAATTTTTTAACGAATCGATAGAAATTTTCGGAAGAGACGTTCAACCAACAATCGTCGACTCCTCGACAAGTCTAAGATATATAGAAGAGGCGATCGAACGGAACAATTCACCTTATCAAGTATCCGTGACCCTGAATAAAAAAAAGAACGAATCGGTGCCAATCAAAGATGACTTGGTTATTAGCTTAATCGAACAACACGAGAGAAATAGCTCTAGTTCTGATAAATTAGGAGGTCAAGTCGAAATCGTCAAATCTATCGAAGGGATTACTGAGACTGGCAATAATGATTTTTCGCGTACTAACAATAACAATAAAATACTTTCTTCGAACGATACAATTAATTTATCGAGCAATCAAAAGAAGGTAGAAAGCAGCGTTGATTCGAGTAACGTAAACGCTTTGAGTCTTCTACAGTTAATGGCAGAATTACTTAAAATCGATCATATCCCTCGACCTTTCTCCTTGAATAACCTTCAAGGTGTACAATCGAATCTGGGATCTAATTTGGATAAAAAAGAATTGTCCGTCACGACGATTAAATCCGTTCACGATAGTTTGCAAAGAGAGAGAATCCTCGAGAGTTTACCTTTCAATAGCGATAAGGAAAATGTTATGCCACGACCGCGGGATATTTTTGATGGAACGATTAATCCACAAAGTCCTTCGAAAGATCAAACTTTAGACAAATTGAGCAACAAGTATCATCGGTCTTTAAACGATACAGAGAATCGGTTGCCAATTTATCAACTACCTCAAATACAGAGGTCATTAGATTTCGAGGTATCTAAGGAATTTTTTAACTCTTCGACGATTTCGCCAACTTCTACGACGTCGTTTCCAAGAACAACCAATGTTGTCGAATCTGCCAAAACTGTCGTGGAAACCGAATTTGTTCCTTCAATAGGATTTTCTTTCGATACGAACGAAGGTCGAAAAAAATACATCGAAGCTATTCTTGGCGGTTTATTGAACGAATCGATTCACGAAAATACCACGAACAAATCGTTTAGCATGGAGTCGATCGAAGGATCGTCTGACAATTAGTCAAGTCGATTTTCATCGACGCAAATTTAACTAACCATTATACGCGTTATTTTTAAAAGCTCTGTTACTCTCTCTCTCTCTCTCTCTCTCTCGCTCTCTCTCTCTCTCTTTTTTGAATGTGATACTCAATGGTATCTCTTGCATTTTATTCTTCTTCTTGTTTTTCTTACGTTCTTTTTTATTTTTTTATTTTTCTATTTTTTTATTTTTTTATTTTTTTATTTTTTTATATTTTAATTTTTTTTTACATCAGTCCTTCTACGTACATGGATATGTACGTATTTTGAACACGTGAACGTTTATAAATGTAATTTCAAGATATTCGACGATAGTTTCATATTTGTAAATAATTCTATATCTGTACAATTTTAATCTGTGCAATTACGATGTAATAATATGTAATTACAAGAAAACATTTTCAATATATGCGAAGAAAAAGTTTTCTTCGGTATACAATTTTATTGATATTCTTTATTTATAAAATTGTCCCTTTTCCACGAAAGCGACTAATCACGTTTAAGTTTGATCGATTAATCGCACGAGGGAAAACATGGTAACCGATAAGCCAAAAAGAATCTGGCGAATTCATTTCTTTAAGATTATTTCTGTGTTTTAAAGATCCGTGTTCATACGTTTATACGCTACACATGTACATATTAGACATAGAGATTAAATTATCCTATGTCCAAATACATATCGTCGATACGTACAATAGAAAACTCGGTCGCCATATAAATTTTATATCAACTGAAATTTGTCACAATTACGATTGAGTTCGACTTAAAAATAGAAGAAAGGAAGCGGCTGCGTACGTTACGGTAAGTTTGTTGGGATCATGATGATTTTTAAGAATTCGGAATATTTTCTTTCGCTATTTTTCACGATCCGATATATATTTGATAGGATATAGAAATATGTCAACGATCGTTAATGAATCTTTGCAAAATAATTTCGAAGAAGAAGACGAAGGAAAGATTTATGATGCGCGAACTGAATTTTTAGAATTGGATAATCGGTAATACACATTTTTTATAAACGTTATATTGAGAAGTTCACAAATAATTATATTTACCCATCAAATTTATATTTACCGAATCATTTTGCAGTATTATTTGGATTAGAGAACGGGTGTTGCAGTTCTTAGGGCTATCTGATCATCAATATCTCTTTGATAAACTCATACAGGTAATATATTGTTGTACGTAACAATAATTTATTGATTAGAATCGTTATAAGATGACATTTGTTTTTCATTCGTTTATCAGGCAAACAATAGATATTTTGAGGAAAAATTGATAAAGTTTTTAAGTCATGATTTATATTCGATTACAACCCTCGAAAAGAAGATAATTTTCTTTTACAAAACATATTCAATAGAAACGATTCAAGAGGAAATAGTAGTTTGGGAAAGTGAGTAATATAGTTATTCTGTTTCTTAGCAAATAAAGATCATTTATCTTATAAATTATATCTTTACACAAATAAATTACAGGTCGATAGCCCAAAATAATCTCATTTTGATTGCACTTTTGTGTCGTAATAAAACAAAAAATTGATCGACGAAAAGTGCTCCTAGTAAAAGATATATTTGCAAAGAAAATTCTTTAATAATTTTTTTTTTTTTTTTTTTTTTTTTTAGAGCATTTATTTTTCTTTTTCGCTAAACTCTACTTGAGCTTAATTATCTTTTAATCTTATTTTATTTTAAGAAAGATTCTTAAAAACATATACATTTATCTATTAATAGCTATAATTCATGGTAGCAAACAAATGGTATTTTTAAATTAAAAAGGAGCCTATGCGCGATAAATCATATGCGTTTCAATTATCTTACATATATAAAATTTTGAAAGGTATTAAATTAAATTAGTATAATAGCAATGATTTTCTTGAATGTTAGGAAAAGTTGAAAAATCGATCGTCGAAAAGAAGAAGAAGAAAAAATGGAAACTAATGAAAGGTAAAAATACTAAAACTAATTCAATTAGAAATCAAATTAAATTATCTTCTATGAGTTTTGAATCGAGTATAGAGTCCACATCCAGCGAACAAGAAATAGAGGACGAAGAGGAGGAAAGTTTAATAAAAGCAAATAGCGATATTTCAATTTATTCAATAAGGAAAGATCAGTCTAGAGATGATGGAATTGGTAATAATATTAATGAAATATTTTCAAGCTCATTGTGTAAACTATTCCTATGTAAGTTAACGTACAGTCATTTTTTAGATGTTCCAGGTTTTGTTCCACCAATTGGTGAAGAAGATAAATATATCTTAACAAAGGTATTGCGTAAAATAATAAAAAATGAACATTATTTTCAACTGCGATGATAATGCTACAATAAGTGTTTCTTATTACAGAGAATGGTGGACAAAGAAACGAAAAAGCCAATTATTCACATTATATGCGGAGAAATTGATGCAAAAAATTTTGATCTTAAAAATTTGAACTTTTTTTACTTTATGAGAACAAACGAAGAAGCAGTACCTCCTTTTGAAACGTACGAAGAATGTCTTGATCAAATGCCAAGCTGTATGATAGTTGGTTCTATCAATGGACACTTTTTAGCATCTTTAAACACATTACTTGTTCAAGTATTTAAACCTTTGGTTAATACACAGTTCAGAGGTCCTCATTTTGGAAAATACTATAAAATTGAAGAATCTTATGAAGTGCCTTCGGATGTAGCGAGAGCTTCATCTACTCTAGCTGAGATTATCGAATCTAAGGTTTTTATGCTGTGATATATTGTCCGTTACCATCCTAGAATTTATAAATGATATAAGTTTTGATCCATATAATTTTAAATAGTTTATTTATTTGATAATAGAGGTCCATATATAGAAGACCATCGGATTTTCGACGAGTATCTCTTTTGCTTTCAAAGAAGATAAAGGAAACTGCAAAAGACGTGGTAGAAGATGAAATAAATGATTTTCACGATGATATGGAAGTTGAAGGTAGATTAATTAAAAAGCCCGTAAAACCACGTAGCACATTGACGATTTCAACTAACGACTATCAAGAGACGGTACACGAAGAAATTGAAATAGGACAGAGTAAAAGGGATATCTTAGAATACTTGGACAAGCTATCAGCTAATGTAGAATGGTTAATATTATAGACAAAATTATGTTAACATTTTGAATTAGAAACTATGTATTTATATTTTTGCATTTAATGCTTCTAGGACCTTGCAACATATAGGAACTGATATCCTATTAACAATACCTACGATTACTGAATTAGAAGATACTACTCTGTCGGATGAAGATATATTAAATAATAAATACATCATTAACCAATTAGAAAATGCAATCACGTCTTGGGGAGATCGTATACAGCAGGTATATATTTTATTATAGAAAGATATCAGAAGATTGTATATATAGATGGATACATTAATTTTAGGTATTAGAATCGTACACTGATAAGGTACCCAAAGATAAAGGACCAATTGCTGAATATCATTATTGGCGCGAGCGTCAGACAGGACTGTCTGTTATCGTTGAACAGTTGAAAAATCCTATTATCAAAAAAATGATAAAATTATTGAATATGACTGTATCACATATAGCTACAATTTTTAATCATTTTAAAGAGGAACTTTGGAATTATTATAATGAAGCTCAAGATAATACAAAATTTCTCTCCACTATCAAAAGACATTTCGAGGTAAAATAGAATTTTATCCTGATCTGTGCAAATAGGCACGAACAAAGTAATGAATTTAACTACCTTCTAACATAATAAACTTATATAGACTGATCTAGAAATTATTATTTCAAAATATATAATTTACTATTAATAGTTGATAAGTTACACAGACCAATATAAACAAATTAACGATGGTATTCCCTCTCTGATGAATGGATTGAAAATGATTTGGATATTATCATCTTATTATTCTTCTGAAGAGAAAATGATATCCTTATTTGAAAGAATTTCATGGCAGCTTTGTCAAAACATCAAAAAAAATTTATCAATCAACGAGTTATTTAAGTAAGTAAATCAATATTATTAATTACACTTTATTCTTTATTGATTTCATTGGTTATTAAATGATATAATAAGTAATTGAAATTATATTTTTAGCAATCCATTAGAAATTGTTTCACAAAAATCTAAAGATGCGTATGAAATGATGAAAAATTGGAAAAAATCGTATTTAAAAACAAGAGATGATATTGAAGAATCAGGAAAGGGTGCACGTTGGGAATTCGATCAAAAATATCTTTTTCAAGAAACAGAATACATAGCCGGTGTTTGTAATGATTTTAATACCATAGCCAATGTTCTTCAAGATTTTTACAATATATTTGGCGTAGATCTGAAATCAATTATTTATGAGCCAGCACATATTGATACAATTATAAAACGAATTGGATTATTATTAGCACCATTTAAATTGGCTGATTTCGATGTCTTCAGTCCTTTCAATAAAGAAAATTGGGAAGCAACGATGTCGCGTTTTAACGCAGAAGTTTCTTATTTAGAAAATGATGCGAAATTTTTTATTGACGAATGTTTTAATGTTCTTATCAACGCAAAGGATGGGCTAAAAATGCTTTTCAAATTCAAGGATAGAAAGACTAGAGCTACTATACGGGAAATTTTATCTAGTAAATTCGAAATCACTATGCAACAATTCAGTAAAGAAATAGGCTCTGTGGAAAATATATACAACAGGGGTAAGACACATTAAATCTTCTATTAAAATAATTAATTACTAGAAATATAACGCGTTTACAGATGTAAATATAACACGATGTACAAACTTTTATTATAATATAATTAATGTTTTTAGGTAAACGATATCCTCCTTTATTGATGTACCATCCACCAATGGCAGGAGCAATTTTTTGGGCAAGACAATTGTTTTATTGTCTTAGAGAATCAGTGTTATATTTTCAAAACATACAAGAATTAAAACATAATGAATTGAAGCTTATGAGTTTCAGTCAATATCTTGATATAGGTAAACAGTTGAAGGCTTTCGAAGAAACTAAGTTCAATAGTTGGGTAGACAAAGCTGAAGAAACTATTACGAACATTATGAAGAGTAATGTGCTAAAAGTAGTACAAATGGTGGAGTATGAAGAAGGTTTTCAAAAATTGCATCTTGATTTTATTATAATTTAAAATATTATTTCTTAATCGTCTTATCTGTAGTCGCGTACTATTGTTTCCAGATGAACGAAAATTAATTTCGAAAAATGATCTCAGCGTCATTCGCTCATCTAAAAGGTTAAAAGGGAAGGAATATTTGATATCAAAACCAAGCATTGGTAGATTCTTAATAAAAATCACTTTACCCACAATTTGATTTATAGTTAGATTGAGTGTTTATAAACACACGTTTCTTACTTTCTTTCTTTTACTCTCTTTCTATTTTTATTCAACATACGCGCGCGCGCGCACACACACACACACACACACACACATTGGTGCTACG